AAGATGAAAAATGATTTTTGGTCCGCTGGGTTTGGCAACCCTGCACATTATGCTCCGAGAGCCAAGAAGTGTTCATTAGAATTCGTTTTATTTCGTTGTCTGAACATAAAAATCCTTCGTGAGTGTTCGTTGTCTGATTTGTTTGCAGTCCGAACCGTTTGTTAACCAATAACCCACTGTATATATATATATATCACTATATATGTAATGACATAGTACTTAAGCTGATTGTTATGATGGAGAAATTTTTTATGATAAATCAAAATGGATTATTTTTTGAATAAGCAGTCAAAAATATGAACAAAAGAGATTACAATTAGAATTTTTCACTAATAAAATGGGTGCCAATAACAGTTACAACCTTATTGATTTTTAAATTAAGCAAAGAGGATTCATGTAAAGGATTGATATTTTACTTTTTGCTATTGATGCATCAGCAGTATTGTAAAAATAGCTTATGAAAATCATTAATTTAGGAATGACACTGATCAGAAAGATTAATTATTAGCATAGTGCTGTTTTTAGAACAGGAAAAAGGAATTCTTCAGAATTATTATAAAAAATTAAATGATAAAATATTTTTAAAAATGATATACAGCCGACTTTGCCTTACAATATCTGAGATAGCTCACCCGTCCACACTGAATAATTTTCTCAGTAGTACAGGCATTCACTCAACCGATCACTGTGAAAGGAAAAAATTCCTGCCCTCTACAGCGTAACACTGTCTACAATTGTGTAGAGCTTACAGTGTTAGCAAATAGTCAAAATAAATGATGAAGATTTCCCTTTAATTGCTGCAATTTTTATCTTTGATGCAGAAGGAGAAAAAAGAAGACGGCTTTGGATGATGGGGTGTGATTTTGATTTTTTGTTAAATTTAGTTTCCAGCAAATTGAAAGAACTGGTACAATTATGTGTTTCTTAATTTCGCCATCTGAGAGGCTGCACGTTACTCTACGTGTTCTAGCTGGTGATAAGTTAATTTTTATATTATTAGAAATTAACTAATTGATTTTATTAAAATTGGTATGTCTCAGTCACTAAAACTAAAGTTTAAATGTAAGCAATAGCTTTAATCAATATTATTTTCGTTTCGAGAAATTTTAATGAGTTTTATGATAATTATTTCATTGCATCATTTTTAATGAATTTATGTTAATCTTTATTATTATGTTACAGGATGTTTTTATTCGCATTACTAATACAATCTGAAATACTATTAAGTAACTAATACAATCTGAAATACTAATACAATCTGAAAGTAACTAATACAATCTGAATACTATTAAGTAACTAATACAATCTGAAAACTATAAACATGTGGTTATATCAGTTAATCAGCTAATAAAATTAAGTGATATTGTATTAAATTGTTCAGTAATATGCTGACATCTATTAACACAAAACTGTGTTTTTCTGGAAATTTTTACTTTCAACAAGATAATATACATACATAAAATAATTTTCACCATCACTAGAAAATATTTGAATATATAAAGTAATGGGGAAAATAAAACTTATCAAAATTAGGGAATCCCTTAATTTTTTATTTTTCAAATTTACATTACTTGCGTCCCACAACTATATCTATAAATAAATACCTATCAGTAGAAAAATTTGAGTTTTGCTCCAACGAAATAGCACCATGTTTATTATTTATTCCAAAATGAGGAGAAAAACAAGTGATCGCTCAAAGCAATTGTATTGGCTAAAGACACCGATTTTATAGTACCCTAGTGAGCAGTGAACACTGGATCTGAAATTGTGGGAGAAAACATGACCGATTTTTGGCACATGCACAGATCCTTGAAATTGTTGCTCTACGAGAAAGTCGGCCGTGAAAACTGCTACGTGTAGACGGGCCTTAACAGTTTCTCTGTTCTCATTAGTGACATTGCAGTTGTCATACTCTGAAAATTATTTACATTTGCTTCTGAGCTTAAGAGTAGTTATACTAAACTTAAAGCTGTGATCCATAAATGAGAAAGAAACAATTTTGGAACAGATTTTGCATTATTGTATTAACAGCACAGTATAATTTATTATTACCAATTAATCTCCACCAAATTTATATGTGTTCTACATAGTGATTGCTGTATCTGCAATATGTTCTGAAACAGAATTACCCACTGGTTCTGAAACAGAATTAACCACTGACACAGGGGCACTTCTGTAATTTCTCCGACTAGTAGCTCATTTTGAAAAGCATGCAGAGTTAACTAATACCTTAAAATTATCTTTAACATGAAGAATTTTAGGGAATTAAGGTACTAATAATTATTTCAAGGCTGAATTAGTGTTTAACCCTCTGACTGCTCAATTTGTAGACCAAAATCAATTAAAAAATTGTGTGTATATATGTATATAAATGTGCATTTGGATGTTATCTTACACATACAAAAAAAATAAATAAATAAATAAATAAATAAATAAAAAAAATAATTAATACATTTCAATTGAATTATATAATATAAAAAAGTAAAATGTATATAACTTAAGAAAGTATAATGCACTGAGAAAAAAATACCTTAGCAATGTAGTTAAGTATGATAGAGTTTGAAACAGGATTCAAGGCTTCACAGTCTGAGGAGTAGTCCGAAAAATCTATACCACTATCAAAACTAAAATCAATTTCAGAATCTGATAAATCATCAGGAATATATACTGTCAATCACTGAATGTTTCCTAGCAGCCATTTCTAATTAGAAAAAGGCAGCAAACATAGTGAAGTTTGAGTGGTAAATACACTCACTTCCAAAAGTTAAGCACGTAGAGGAAAATGCTAATTTCCGGAAGCCAATCAGAATTGAAGAGGATGCAATTCGCTGCAGAGGTAGATGGAAGTATGCAAATATGTTAGGTAACAGCCAATCACACTTTCATGTCAAGAAATATGCAAAAAAGGCAGTCTTATAAGCCAACTTTATGAAGGGTTACAGAAGTTGATTGTAAGTGATGATAGAAAGTGCTTAAAACCTTCGTAAAATTTGTTTTCAAGACAAATGGAAGATTTGAAGACAAATGGAAGATTTGGCTGGCGTGCTGTGGCACGCATTGAAGTAGGACAGTCAATCACAGATGTTGCTCTTTTCTTTGGTGTTAATCATTCTGTAATTTCACGTTTATGGAAACTATTCCAAACCACACAGACAGTTGTCCGAAGACCCATAGACGGTCGCCCAAGGGTTACAACCCCCTGCGGAAGATCGATATATTGCTATTGTAGCTAAGCAGAATCGCAGAGCGACATCCGCACATGTGACATCTATGGTTACAGCGTCCATTGATAAGGCAATATCTGCAGCTACTGTATGACGAAGATTACATATGAGTGGACTGTACGCCCGGGTACCTCGAGTTTGTGTTCCTCTATCCATCCAATCAAGAGGGACACGATTATAGTGGTGCCGGGAACATGACAATTGAAATGTGTCTGACTGAGGCAATGTCATGTTCACTGATGAGTCCAGATGACAAGTGTATAAGGATATGGCGTGAATAACGAACACACATTCAGTCCCAAAACATCACGCATTCCGAGGCGGAAGCATTATGGTGTGGGCAGGGATTTCCTATTGCAGCAGTTGGCCCTACTTTTGTTTTTATCGACGATAACGCGCTTCCCGATAGAGCTGACATCGTCAATGACTACCTGGCGAATGAAGGGATTGCGCGTATGACGTGGCCAGCATATTCACCCGACCTTAATCCCATTGAAAATGTTTGGGATGCTCTCAGCCGTGCTGTATCTTCACGTTTCCCACCTCCAGCCACTGTTATTGAGCTGGAAACTGCTCTGCAAGAAGAATGGCGATTGTTTAATTCTGCGGTAGTTGACCACTTAATTGAAAGCAATTTGTAAACTTTGTATACAGATGAGGGGGGGGGGATCACATACCCTATTAATGTCCTTTTTTTTTTTTTTTTTTTTTTTTTTTTTTTCCCATTTTATGCTGTTTATTTTCACTGTATACATAATTCTGTTTAAATCTCCAGTATGTCATTGTCTGATAACTTAAAAAAATTTAATATTGTTTTCATTTCTGTATATAATTATTGATTTTGTTTTATGCATAAATATACATTCAACTTTCCTGCTGAATTTTGTGTCAATCAAAGCAGTATTTGTTGATTTTTTTTTTTGCATTTTACATCTTCGTGCTTAACTTTTGGAAGTGACTGTACCAAGTACTATCAAATGCCGCAATTTAGTAGATAACTAACGACATCTGTTTGTTAAAACCTAAATTAAGCATCTAATACTGTATATATTTTATTTTACTGGTTAAACGTTGAAAAGGTGGGATGTGCTTTTCAATAAAGAAAGAAAAACACATGCCTGCGAAAATCGTGGGATGAGCAGATAGACGGTTAATTTATACTGAAAATGAATGAAAGATTCATGCATAGTTTGACTAGCAGAAAGCATGTCTTTCAGAAAGTAATGTCTATCATCATGTGTGTACGTAAAAAATCCTTTGAAACAGAAATGTAATCAGTACAAAATGAAGATTACAGAATTCTTAGTATATATATATTTTGTTGGTTGTCAGTTTCTCCATAAAGCACAATAAAACTCTTGTGCACAGCATAATTGTGCTAGGGCAGAATTTTTTAACAAGCTTAAAAGCATCTTTATGAAAGCTAGTTTTTAACTTGAAAACAGACCTTCCTAAAATTGCCACACAATTATGCTTAACCATTGCTGTGTAAGTAATTATTTCAAGTTACAAGCTGACTTTGTCAAGATGCCACCATCTTTGTGAAAATTTCTGACTTTGTGGATGCTAGCTAGTCTGCATAATTTCCAGCACAATTATGATATCATTTCTTGAATTACATATTATTAATGATGTGGATACAATGCAGACTTACATATGCACTCTTATTAAGTTACTATTCATGTAACACTTAATGCTTCTCTAGTTAATAATTATATATTTATAATTTGTGTTATGTACACATGGACATGTTTTGTGTTTCTTTCTCCTTTGCAGGATTCCTCCGAGTAAGGTTTTCTTGACGATAGGAGTCTGCACTCGCAAGGAACTGGAAGATTGTAAAGGCATTCAAAATTTTTGTATATTTAGTTTTATTTCTCTATTCCGTGATATGTTGAAAGCTCTGAGTATGGTAACCAAATTATTTGCCTCCAGGTTGGGTTTTGAAAATGAAATCGCATGTGGGTATGTTTATAGGTTTTTAACCTTAGGCATGATAGGTTTTTCTTCTCTGGAAGAGAATTCTGATCTCTATCTTGAATTTTCAGGGAGTACATAAACTATTTATTTAAGAGTTAATTTCAAATCTCTACTTGTACATATATTGTACATAAAAAAAATCTTAGATTTTTGTGTTGTTTCTTTTAACTGCATCAGTCCGATTGTTAATTTTAAACTCATGTTCATGATACTAGTACTATATTACAAGATCATTTCATTTTCATTTTTGGTATTGATTCACAGTACTGTATTTTGATTCTTTTCCTAAAAACAATATTTAGGGCACTGAAGAATAGTTCTCAAGAGATACCTGAGGTTTCCCATTCCTATTTGTTCTTGCCGTTCCATAAGTCTGCTACATGTAAAATTGTCTTCCAAAAAGAAAATTTCTTTTACTCAGTTTTTTCATTTTATCATTTTAGAACTACATTATAATCATGCTGATTTTTTAATATTGTTTTCAGTTACCAAGTAAAAAGCATATTATAAAACTTTTTTTTGTTGGATGTTTGGCTGATAAGCTTGCATTCTGTGATGATCGATATATATTCTAAATTATTTAAACTTCAGAATCGTATGGAAGCTATGGCTACTATTTAAAAATTACTTATTAAGCTATTTAAAAAATAATAATAATAATAATGCAACAAACGACAACATTCAGGCTAGTCTTACCCACTGACGACTATAGATTTTTGTTAAGATATTAAGATAAAATGTTTACTAACGTGGAAGAATTGTTATGGAAAATACAAAATAGTAACTTTTCTTCCATAATTTTTGAATTCGGGTTTCTTAAATGTCTGAGCATGTCTAATAAAAGAACCATTTTTAACCAGCAACCAGTGTATTGTCTGTTTGAGTACTGTTTGACTATTCAGAATTATTTTATTTTCAGAAATAATTTATTAGTTATTTTAAGCAAATTTTGATTTTGGTAAATGTTCTCATTTTATGTTTTGATTTCTTGGAAAAGGGTTAGTCTTTTCATGAATATGAGTCTCATTCCCTCAGTTTTTACACTCATTCTGCAAAAGCATATGAATGATACAATGATTTAGAATCTTGTTCACGGTAGAAATTTATCAGTTTATATAAAACAAGTGAGAAGCATATCAAAAGCATTTTTTTAATGCAGGAAACACTTTTTTAAGCATTCTGCATATATTTTATTGGTATTAATTGGTTATTAGAAATTCAGTATATATAAAACATTTTCATTTAGTATTTGCTAACTAAATTGTATATTTTACAGAAAAACTCATTTTTTTACTTGTTTGCTTTATTAAGCATTTCTTACAATGTAAGTTGTTTAGGTTGCTTCATTTTGGGGGGCTAATATTTTCTCTACAGACAAACATAATTTCTTTTCACTTAAAAAGATTACAGATTTCACCATCCATTAGTTAGTTCATGATTGGGCTTTGTCATCACAATGAAAAAGTTGTTATATCACCTTCACTTATTACAGTTTTAGCAAAAGCAAAATAGCTATGTAAATAATTTAAAATATAAAGGTAATTTCATGTTAAGAGTTTTTCCCATGTAATTGTCTCAGAGTATTCAGAATATTTAGTTTTATCTTTAAAATTAATTTTACACCTTTTCCCTCTGATATTTTTTCCCCAAAATATTTCTCGCTTTTTACTGTTACAGAATTTTTCTTTAGGATTTTAGACATTGCAGCTTGGAAAGTAGGATTTGAAGGCAAAATTTATAGACCCATGATTCTAGTAGGTTACAAAAAAAAATGTCTCCATGCTATTAACATGTAACGAATGTATTTTTCAGAAAGTTTGCGATGTATTTCTTACTTTTTGGAGAAGGTCTGGAAGAACAAAGAAAACATAATATTTGGATGTTTTAATTCTGATACTAGAATCTTTTTCTTAACACGTTTATCTTCCCTTTATTTTTTTTACTTTCTACTAGACAGAGGCATGGAAAATATCAAAAATGCTTTTATTTTTATCACAAGGACAGGCAGAAGAATTTTTTTCTTAGTAAAGAAATTGAAAACTGACAATTTAAATGATTCATATGTCTGAATGTATCATACACAGGGCATTCCCACTAGCATGAGGCACTAGGCATTTTCCCACATGATGCAATCTCTGTGGATCCTAAATTCTGCTGCCTAGTGCCTTTCTAAATTCTGCTTCCAATGCCTGCTCTATATTCTGAGTTTTGCCATTTTTAGATTTTGTTGCCTGGTATGTCACTAAATTATAAAAATTCTGCCGCACTCCCTCTGTAACCAGCCCTTACCATATATATTTCATATTCTGAAGGTTCATATTACTAAAGAAATAAAATTAGCAGCTTTTTCTATGCATTTTAAATTTAGTGTTTTTAGAATAATGGAAATCTTTAATTTAAATTCTAAAATGAAAAAGAAATGTGCTGAAGAAAGAAAATTATTCTTAAAAGCTGCTATTATTATGTACAGTTACTATTATGTAAATTACCCAGTTGTTTATTAACTTCAGCCTTTACTATAATTTCCCATTTCTGTTTTCTCACCAGAATGCAAACCGCTTGGATAGTTTTTAAACTGAGGTGTATGGTGTGTGAGACAGAGTGTGTTTCTGACCTCCACTTACTCGCTGCATTAGTTCCTGTCAGCTCTGATAATTTATAATTATTCGTCTTGCATTATCGCTTCTGACATTTGAATTTGTTATGAAAATTCGGTTACTTAGCCAGCTTAAATTAAATTTAAACTGTATAGTATTTGATCACTAAGTCTACATTTTTAGTTTGAATTTGACGCTTCTTGTTTAATTGTAATTGATTTTGTTAGCATAAGAACATGCCTTTATGTTCTAAGTCCTTTTTAAAAAAAGATGCTTATTTAAGCCTTTGTCTGACTTTGTAGTTACTTTAACATGTTGCGATAATTTGCTTCACATCTGTCTGGGGGTTTTGGACTATTTAACTATCAGATCAAGTAAACGCTCATATATACAATGGGAATAGGTTAATAAATTAGGAGATGAAGCATGTAGAAACTAGTGAGAACACTGGTTTGCATATTGGAAACAAATTTCCAATTGTTAGAAAATATGCTTAAAGAGAATGAAATTAATGTAAATTAGCCAGAATGTCTGCAAAGGCTTCAAATTAAAAAGACGCATAACTGTTTTGTTGAGTACTGTTGCTAAACATGTTTTGTAGCATTAATGTATATTAAATGGGTTACAACCTCTGTAGCTCTACACGCCCAACTAATTTTCAAAACTTGCCAGCTGTGCCTACATCAGGCCTTTCAGGTTAGTTTTGATCAGCAGGTTTCTCTGTAGACAAGCAGCAGCGGTGACAACAGCCAGTCTTTTGTTACGAATCATGCCGATTGTTTTACTTCTCAACCTTGGCATAAAATCTACCTACTATTTACTAAACCTCTAGACTGAGCAAGTATGTGGCAAAATGAGACATAAAACATAAAAGAAAAAATCAACATAAAGAAAATGTAAATAAAATGTCACTTATGTTTTTTCCAATATGACCAACTATTATAAGTGTAAAATACGAGGGCTATCCAGAAAGTAGATTACGTTTTGGAATAAAAAAAATAAACAAAGTATAGGAAACAAATTTTATCATATACAGATGAAAGCCACACTCAAATACTACTTTTCTACATAGTCACCATACAAATTAAGGCATTTATCGTAGCGATGTACGAGCTTGGAAATTCCTTCGTCGAAAAATTCGGCCGCCTGCGCCTTCAACCACTTCGTTACCTCTTCTTGCAGCTGTGCGTCGTCATCAAAACGCTGCATAGCCAGCCACTTCTTCATTGCTGGGAATAGGTGGAAGTCGCTCGGTGCCAGGTCGGGACTGTACGGCGGATGAGGAAACAACTCCCACTTAAAAGATTCAAGAACTTTACGAGTGACATTTGCCGTGTGGGGCCGGGCGTTGTCGTGAATCAACAAGATCTTAGAGCTCAACATTCCTCTGCGCTTGTTTTGAATTGCTCTTCTGAGTTTTTGGAGAGTTTGGCAATACCTTTGAGAGTTTATTGTAGTGCCTCTTTCCAGGAAGTCCACCAAAATTACACCTTTTCTGTCCCAAAAAACAGTCGCCATCATCTTCCTTGCCGACATTGTTTGCATGCATTTCTTGGGTTTTTGGGGAGAACTTGTGTGCCCCCACTGCATTGATTGCAATTTCGTTTCACAGTTCACATGTTTCACCCATGTTTCGTCACCAGTAACGATGCGATCGAGTAAAGAGTCACCATCCTTATGGTAAGCGTCCAAAAAGTTCAACGCTGCAGCCATTCGCTGATTTTTGTGGTCCTCTGTCAAGATTTTTGGAATCCATCTTGCACAAAACTTGTGGTAACCAAGCTTTTCGCTGATGATTTCGTGCAACAAACTTCGCGAAATTTGTGGAAAACTCAAAGAAAGTTCCGTTATTGTGAAATTTCGATTTTCACGGACTTTAGCATCGACTTTTTCGAGAAGTTCGGCGGTCACTATGCTGGGTCTCCCACTTCGATCTTCGTCGTGAACATTGGTTCGGCCATTTTGAAATCTTATGACCCACTGACGCACTCCACCTTCAGTGATAATGTTGTCCCCATACACTTCACGAAGCTGCCGATAGATTTCTATCGGTTTACAGTTTTTTGCAGTCAGAAACCTTATTACTGAGCGCACCTCGCAGCTCGCGGGATTTTCAATTAACGCAGACATTTCAAACCGTCACAGTATCTGAACGGAGCACAGCACGAACCTCTCACTAGCACGGCTAGATGCAGACTGAGCTGCGCAACGCTCTGACCCCAAGATGGCCGCGCTAGCCCCGCCCCTAGCGGACACAGACGGAAACGTAATCTACTTCCTGGATGGCCCTCGTATTTTAATGCTACTTGATAAATTTCATAAAGTTTTATTTTATTCTATAACTTATTAATAATTATGTTTAATAGTAATGTATCCTACTTTTATTTTTTAGTATGATATTACAAAAGTGAAGTTCAAGCATACATAGTATTTTTAATTTAGTTTGTTCAGTTCCTTTTGCTCATAGGTTCTTAAAAGTACTTAATTTCTGTGTGCAGAAAAGTGTACGAACCTTGTAAAATTTAGCTACCATTCACTATACACATTTGGCTATGTATTATGAGATTGGTGACTAAAGACAAGTTATTCCTCTAAATTTTATCTTGCTTCTATCGTGCATCGAGACAATTAAACCTGAATTGTTATTAGTTTAATTATTTATTATACTTATATATTTCTTGCATATGCTTAATGCTTATCTGAGTCCTGAATAAATAAATTCTCACATATAGTTAAGGCTTATTGAGTCTCCGAGGCTTCTAAATTTTGCTACCCAAGCGCCTCCCCTTGTCTTCCCTAAATTCTGCTGCCCGGTGCAGCCATATGAACTGGTTCTAGGTTTATATGAATAACAAATCAGTTATTCTTAATTCAAATAGCACTAAATGTAATCTTTTGGCCTATGAGTATCTTTAACAAATCTACTTTAGCATATGGAAAGAAATTTTTGTTAAATTTTGCCTGTCAACATTTCTTAGCACATTTAACTTAAATCTATAATCATTGCCAAGCATAATGTTAACATGAAAGGTTACCATGATGTTCCTCAATTACTAATACAAAAAACAAAACTGTTTAGGTATCACTCCATGAGTCATTACTCAAGTTGTCATGTTAATAAACATGCCATAATGATTCACAAGGTTGGGCATCAGGGGTATAAAAAATTAATAGGTGTAAAATCAACGATGTATCTGTAGAATGTTTCGGTTTGAGATTTATGACTGGCAGCTACGAAGCCAAATTACTGATCATAAAAATTTATG